TTCATAGTTTTGTCTTTTTTTTTTTTTTTTTTTTTTAAGGTATCCTTAATTTTCTAGTCATATTCAGAACTGGAAAACTGACTTTTTTTGGTGTTCTCATTGCTTTTTGCTTCTGTTTTGGCACATCAAATAGATGTGTGCTGTTTTTGGAGAACATTGCAAAATTCCTTAAATTAATGCAGAACTCCTGCTTATGAAATAATATTAAAGATGATCTATTTAAATAAATATATTTAATATCATTTTTTGCTCTTACTGCACAATCTTTGTTTTTAAACTGTGGACATAAACACAGCCTGATGGTTCAGGATCCAGATCACTAACTCAAAGGTTGAAGGTTCAGTCTCAAGAAGGTCTGATCCAGGACCTGGAGAGTTACTGAGCATCAGGAAGGTGCTGCTGTAAGTGCTGAGGATGTAATGATTCTCCTGAGAAACACTCACAGAGTCTGTGCGTGAAGTACTATCATCGGTATCGGTCTTAAACTCTAATACTGTACAGTATTTTTTCTTTAGTAGTGTGGGTAAAACTTTGTCCTCTTTGATAAGTGAGCAGGAACATATTGGATGCCAAACATAAAAAAGGTGTTATTTAGGTTTTTCGTCCTTTATTCAATGTTCTCCCTGAGTATTTGGACACTTAAAACACAAATGTATGAATATCGATGTTAAGGCAGGAATACGCTACACGACTCTTAAAATCTGAACAGATTTTAAAACACTAGGTGTCATACACTTGCCGACATTACAGAGGAGTAACTTAAGCGACTGAGGATCTACCACTTTCACAACAATCTCAGGCAGAAACACGTGGCTTGCTGCTAGGAGATGCATGAAAAATGAAAGCAATGTTTTAAAATCGGCTTAAAATATTAAACGTTTGTCCTCCGACGACTGAATGGAATCAGAGCCTGTGCCCATCATACACTACGTGGTTTTCTTTGAAATCGGTCAACTCTGTCTTCTCAACATCTGCAGGCTGGCTCTGACTTTCAGCAACTAATGTCGACTCGTCCAGACTGTAAATCGGGGCAAAAATCTGTACAGAAGTTGTGTATTTCAGTTTTTAGATAACAAAATATCTTTATTTTTTAAAGAATGCTTTAGAATTTTGATGAGTAAATACAGGTAAAAATGAAGAAAAAAGTATTTTTGCTTGCTTGGTATTTTGATACCTAATACAATGACATTTAGACAAATTAGTTGTGATTTAAGTGTCTAAATATTTTTTGGTTACAATGTATAACTGTTAAATATTTTTGGTAACACTTCACAATTAGGCTCTATTCATTAGTTATTGCATTAGGTATTATAAGAAAACATTGAACAATACTTAAACATCATGTATTAATCAGAATGTTAATTTCTTCACATACTATTTATCTTTAACCATTTTCAAGTTAAATTAAGTTAACATTAGCTCTTGTATTATAAGTGAACAATATTATTTTTTGTAACTGAACAAACTCAAATTAATGCATGTTCCTGAGGCCTATCTCATGTTTGCAAACGTAAGTGTTATAAAATAAGTGTTACCTTATTTTTAAATGACATTTTAAATATGCACCTGTAAACAGTCATTTATAGGAGAATTTTATGTAATTAGTGTATAGTGTTTAAAGGGGTCCTATTATGCTTTTTCACTTTTTGGATTTTAGTCAGTGTGTAGTGTGTATGTTTGGACATAAAAAGATCTACAAAGTAACAAATCTCAAAGTCCACTCCAAAGAGAGATATTTAGTTTTTAAAAAATCCCTTTTCAAGAACTACAACGAACGGCTCGTTTGGACTACAGCGTTGCTTTTAGGGGTTTTGTGATGTCACAAAGTGGCCCATTAGAATATAATTAAAATAATTCCCGCCTACGGAAATTCGAATGGTTGGGGGTGGGGAGGGGCGAGGTCTTGGTTAGAATGCTTGGTTGAGTGCATCAGACAAGTCGACGACGAAGAAGTGCTGCTGTAGAGTTGGTGCATCAGAGAAAACGAAGAAGAAGAAGAGCTGCTGTAGCGTCAAGTTTTCGCCATGTTGAAGAAACGCTGTTTTTTTGACCCCCGTGCTCAAATGTCTTTGTTTGGCCTTCCTAAAGCGGACAACGTCAGGAAACGGTGGTTGCTATTTATTTTTAACTCCATTCCTGAGCATTAAGCGGTTGTTAACATCGTATCTAAAATGTGATTTAACCAAAAAAACAAAACAACAATAACGTTACCACTCTAATATGTCTTGCAATATCCGTGCGTGCAAAGGTTCTGCGCAATCCTCTTGTTCAATAGTTTTCTGGGTCTGAATCCGGCTCAAATTGATATGGCAATATTGACGCCATCCTTAACTAAACCGGAGCAGACGGAACTTGCTGCTTTGGCAAGGGGCGGGGCAGTACTAAAACACCGTCTAAGCTGTTCGCCAATCACAACGCACTGGGACAGCTAACCAATCACAACACATTTCGTTTTTCTGAAGGCAGGGCCTTCATCAAACCCAGAACTAATCGAGCCGTTTGTGCCAGACTGGGGAGAAAGGTATTTTAATAATGTAAATTATGTGAAAAATTATGTTTTTTTTGAACCACCAAGCATGAGAGCATGTTCTAGTACACCCCCAAAACAAAATCAAGACTTTGTAAAAGAGCATAATAGGACCCCTTTAAAGTAATCTGTATATGAAATTATTCTAAAACCGTATATAAATAACTGAACATAACGATTGAAATCTCCAAAAGGACAGTCTAATGCTAAGTACTGTTAGTTAGAAACTATTGCATTAATCTCTTCTTCACGGAGTCTATTAAAGGTGGGAGTCTTGAAACTACTTGTATTTGTATGATTTTCTGACCAGAACAAGCAGCCACAACATGCAAAACGTGCCACTAGATGGCATTGTCCTGCCATCATGCTGCATGCACATTATAGTGTTTGTGAGGATTGTGCCTCTAGGGTTCAGTGGCAGGGCAGGACTTAGGGGGCCGGGGGGCCCCTGGCCTTGAGGTTATGTTTGGGCCCTATATCTATATACTACAAATGTCCTCAACTATGACATCATGATGCAGTAACACAAAATACACAAAAATTTAAATATGCTTTGAGGTTCATATATAGTACAATTAATATGCAACATGTCTAGCCCAGTTAAAGTTTAGATGTAAAATTAAATAGTCATCATAATTCGAAAAACAGGATGTGTTCTCTCAGTTGAGAGATCAAAACCCTGAAATAACACTGAGCAAAAAATGCCAGATATGTATTATTATTATAAAAATGTATTGTCATATCTGTGTCCTCTTATATCAGAGTCAAATTTAATCAATAAATTCAATCAGAATAAAAAGACATGTTGGATATTAACAATCAAATGAAAACACTATCAACAAAATCCATAGATAGATTCTGCAAAAATTGTGTTGTTTAAATATAACATTTTAATGTAGAAATATTAAATGATTGCAAAAATGAAATAAGCTACTTATTTAAAATATGAAACTACAACCGCCAGTAGGTGGCAGCAAGTGTCTTAATGAGTGAGTTGAATCCTTAAATCAACCGAATCGTTTAAAATGCTAATTCATTTAACTTCGCAAACGACTGTATTTATAGCCTGATTGAATCATTTACTGGTCCGTGAAACACTGAGGAACAAAACACTGTGTTGCTTGGAGACGCAGCGGTTCTGTTGTTTGGTCTATTTTTTTTTTCGGAATTTTGTGTCTGAAGTTACTCTGAAACTTGTTGTTTAGCCTATTTTACATTTGTGATCATGCAGATATTCTGAAAAACAATTGTTTGTGTGATAGGCTAACTCTATCATAGGCTATAAAAACTCATTAAATGGCTAATTTTTTATTTTTTTTTACATCCTTTTGATGACATTTCTGCCCCACTATGTGTGATGGCAGTGAGACGGGAGAGAGAGTGCTCAAAACTCTTCAAATCGTGTAATTTAGTGGAACATTAATATAGAATCATCCTGTGTAAAGAAATGAGGTGTGAACATATGAGAATGTATCTTTATCTTTATCAGTGTGCTGAGCTAAATGATTAATGGAGCTGTTTAAAGTAGCCATGTGATCACAAATTAATTGGCCCAGATGCAATTCAATACATGTGTCCTTGTTCTATGTGAAATAATCATAAATATCAGTTTATGCTGTTTGATTATGGCCTTGAAGGTCGCAGTTGGAAGCTGTTAGCCCCGGCTGGCCCGTTTAGCCCTTGCGTGCACAGTGGAAATGCGGCTGATTATTTCTGACTGGCATATAATTGAACAAATCAAACAAACATAAACGGGTACACTCTAAAAAGCACTGGGTTAAAAACAACCCAATTTGGGTTGTTATTAACCCAAGGGCTGGGTAAATATAGTTCAGAACCCATCTTGGGTTAAATTTACCCAGCATAATGGGTTGATTTAACCCCGCTAATGCGTTTATTCATTTTTACTAGCTTATTTTTTACTTCATACATTAAATACTTTTTACAGATTAACTTAAATCCTCTAAATTTTTCTAAAATACTCCACACAACCACTGGTTTGCATGATAACTTCCTTTATTTTCCTTTATTTATCATTTACAGCATTGTTTATATCGTTTTTTATACATATTGCCTATGTTTAAACTCGTTTAACAAACTTTAGAAGAAAAATTCAACATTAAACAGAAGTAATTCACGTGTAATCAACCAGTCTCTATTATTCTGTTTCCATCGTAACGGCGCTGCTTCTCGTGCCTGAGCTGGAGTCGTGTTCGGCGGGGAACTGCTAACGGACCGCCGCCCTGCGTTTCACTCTAGCCGAAACATGCTGTGACTCCATAACCTACCAATAAACAAACAATAAACTGCTCTGAGGACATGTATCTTTATGAATAAAATCATTTATTTTATGCAAAGCATCAGGCTTTTCCATCACGCGAAAAGACCGCGACACTCGTTAAAGGTGATTCACACCGTGCACCTGTATGTTGCTCTGCATAAAATTTAATGATATACAGCACAGTAGCGATTTTATAGATAAAATAAAATGTACACAAACCTGTATTTTACCGAAGAATGCATCAATTCGATGGCGCTTAGAACTGCTCTCTCGAGAAGAGAAGACGCAAAATCCCCGCGATAAATAACTCTACGATAAATAATACGTCTGACCCAGGATCTGAGTAACACAAAAACTACCCAAACACTGGGTTGTTATGTCTGACGGTAAGTCCAGCCAATGGCAAGTCCAGCCATGGTCAGTGGATATCTGGGATTCAGTCCATTCACTGAAACTTTGAAACAATAAAGAATTATAAAAAGAATTGCTGAAAAGTGAATATATATATAACTATTACTGGAGCAAAACTTAAAAAGTTCCCTCTAAATTCTCTCCGTGGCAATCTTAGCCTCAAGGCAGTCAAAAAAGTTTTTAATAACATAATATATTTAATTTAATTATATATTATTATTTATATTATATTCTGTATATTATGAGATATGTATGCGTATTATCTGAGTTAGTCTGTGAAGTAACTGTGTTTATACAGTGAGGAAAATATTTATTTGATCCCCTGCTGATTTTGTAAGTTTGCCCACTTACAAAGGAGGTCCCCCTGCTCAAGAATGCACATGTACAGGCCAGTTTAAAGTTTGCCAAAGAACATCAAAATGATTCGGAAAAGGCTTGGGAGAAAGTGCTGTGGTCAGATGAGACCAAAATTGAGCTCTTTGGCATTAAC